TTGTAAAATTCTTTTTTCTTTTTTTTTCAAGGTATTATTGTATTATAAAATACAAAAACACCGAATATTTATACACTAATAAATGATTTTTTCAATTAAATGTTAGGATTTACAATAAACGCAACCCTTGAAAATTCTCGAATAATAAATTAAATTTTGAAAACTATATAAATTGCTCGATATAGATTCATTAATATTTTTTTTTTAGGTTAGACAAAATTAAAAAAAAGTACTTCTAGAATATTCAGTAAAGTATTCTGACCAAATATAATCATCTATGAAAAGTAATTCTGGCACACGAAATATAGGTGTATCAAAAGATGGACAGTTTCTAAAAATATTACATTATCGAAAAAACAATTATAATCGGGGAAATAATTTAGCCTAAGGATGCCAAAGAACTAAATACACCACTGGTAATAATAAATTTGTTTAAAAATATATCAGAACTAATTTAACTTAAAAGTACCTAGTACGTATGAATTCTATGATATCAGTTTGAATAAAGAATTTGACTATAAATATTTGTATAGTAAAGCCTCACTCGACTTTGTCCCGTAAGGCACTATAGGTCATCTTTAAAATTATATCATCTTCCAGTAGGAGTACACAGATTCGCCGGTCTCGATAAATGTTTTATACAAAAGTATTACTTTTGAATCAGTATAAGATATTTGGTTGAATTTTTTTTGTACAAGTATACTTACTGTAGTGTACTTGAACTGACCGTCTTAAACGAGCAAAAAAAATCACGCCATATCCTAAATCCGTATTGTTTATATGTTATTGTTACGTTATGTACTTCATAAAGTTATATTACTCCTTGTTCTAATCATTCATAGACAAATATAGCCCTAACAAAGGTAATTCAATGAACCAGTATTGAAAATAAACCAAAAAATCTATTATTAACTTAATAAGAAAACAATAGTATCGAAAAATGTATCATTGGCATCGCTGTAAGATTTATATTGCTATCTGTTGACTCAATATTTTACAATTTTTAAATTAAAGTTCAAATAAAAAATTTTACACAACCGAATTCTATTAAACAATTATTTATTCTACTTGTAAGAAAATAACACATTGAATAAGTGAATTTTCGCAGTTGAACTTTTAAGTTATAAAGTTAAATATTTGGAAATATCTGATTTTAAGAGCCAATTTTTAATTATAATTTATTCTTATCTTTCTTTACAATTTTATTACCTATACAACTATCATTTTATCAAATAGTTTTTTATCCTAAATTCTACGTTGTCCATTGCATTTTCTATTCCACAAATGAAGTAACTATATCGCCGTTAAAATAGACAATTAATAGATGAAATTGATAAATTACACATTAAGTATTACTGTCAATAAAATAACCGCAAGATACATTCAATTTTTTATTAGTAATTCATATAACACACACCCTATGCATTATACTTACATGAAGTCGACAAGTCAGTTTTAAATGATCATTTTGGATCTGTTATAAACAAGTACCCATCAGACCCAGTAGGATATTTTTCATATTGTACTCCTGTCTTTTTATTTGTGAATAGTACCTACTCATTCACATTAATATATGTATTAATAAATAGCTAAATCTCAATTTATTTTTAATTTAGGACAAATATAGGTAAAAATGTAAGTGTAACAAATGTACATACGTCAGAAAAATACAATTTCACTAAAAAAAATTCTATGGAATTTAGTTTTTATAATAACATATGTCATTCATTGTTATACTTCTGATGTAGAGTAAAAGGTACATAAAAAAATATTTTTTTTTTCAGTATCTTAATGTAAATATTAAAATTGTGTGACTGTATTAAACTCGTATACTCCGGAAGAGATAATAAACATGAAATAAAAAAACAAAATTAATACTATAAATAGATTTATTTGACGTAAAAAAGAAATACCTTAAACATTTATTTTAGAGAAAATAAAAAAATTAAATGGGTACAATTTTTTTGTAATATACCTTTAAGATTATTTTATGTCTTTTAAAATTCTATAATTTGAAAAAATATTTGCAGTTTTGAACAAAGTACAACTTTAATGGGAAAACTTCTTCTTTAATTATGATGGCGTCAATTATCACACTTAAAGAAATGTATTAATGATATTTTGTTAAAAAAAACTACTCATTCTAAATTTTTAGTGAACTTATTAAAATATAAAAAAATAAATTAAATAAGAAAAAATGATTTTTAATCGTAACGCAATTAAAATTATTTTATATAAGAATATGAAGCGATCATTTTTTTTCAACTTAAGCAATTAAAATTCACCAAACAAGTAATTTTGTACAATTGCAAAAGGAAATTATTAATAAAAAAATACATATTTTATCGACATAGTACTGAATGGATTGAAACGACTTAATTTTATTTGGGTGAAAATCATTCCGAAAAAATATTAAACAAAATTCGACTATGATTGATTTTTGAAAATAAAAATTAATGTTGTGAAGTAATAGGGTTGAAGCAAAAACTAAGAGCGTCCCTGACGAAATTTGTTTTTTCTACATAACTAAACGCAAAAATATACAATACAAAAATATTTTATAAAAAATGAATTATTATAACTGAATAAAATGATTACTCATTGAAATTGCATCTTTAGTCAAATTGCGCCTCTTGCAAATGCTTTCTAGTAAGTGCCTAGTTATGTCCCTGTGAAGTAGAACGGAAATATAAGACTAATACCGTAAGCAAAAATTGGAAATCGCATGAAATGTTTATATTAAGTCTGTAATTATGTACGTATAATAGCATAAAATAAATAGTAACACGTACATAATTATACTTTAAGACATCATTAATTGCTTTCTGTTAATAAGTAAAGAACCTTCTATCAAAGTAAAAATGCTTATATGCTTGTGAGTGCTAAATCATTAAAAACGTTTTTAGAATGAATTTCCGGCGAAATCTTTTCCAAACCGGGTATACATACATTTTTTATCATGTTCATACTGTTTTATTGTGCATAATCTAAACACGTATTATAAATGTAGATGAAATATGACACATACTCTCTTATTTCAAATTACGAAGTAATTCATCTAAAATGATGATAATGCATAATTTTATTTATAATGGGCTTATGTGATTGTTTATTCTAAGAAAATATTATTGTTATTGTTTTAATACTTTTTCTTAAAAATTATAATAGACTATAAAACATTTTTATATGATATTAAAACGTTTAATTAGTTAATAATAATTAATAAAAAAATTTAGTAAAGCCATTTTTTATCAATAATCTTTTAAGAAATTATGAATTTTTAAACATTAATATTAAGTTAAATATCATAATATCAGAAAATATCATAAGTGAATATTTATTTGAAATAATATTTATATTTCGTTAATTCGTATTCAAATAAAATGTATTTTATTTTTTAAATATTTTTAATATATAGGAATTATAGATCACACGAAATATAAAATTTCAAATGGTAAAAAAATTAAATAATGCTAATGGGTGTAACCCTAAAAATTTGTAATGAGTTTAGTCATACGGTTTTCCATTTGCATATTTTCCTTAGTTTAATTATATTTATTAACTTTATTTTGGAGCTACATTTTTAATTAAATATCCCTAACAAGCTTAGGGTTTCTACTTATTTAGTTGTCACATTTAATTAATTATTTCAAAAAATATATGTATAAGTAATGTCATGCTCTTTAAATTCATCGAGATACTTTATTTTACACGAAGAATTTTTAATTTTAATTAATTAAACAATGTCTTAGGAAATAAAAATCATTAGATCATATAATTTTTTTAAATATAACCATAAACATATAAAAATAAATAAAACAAGAATATATTTTTCCCTTTTTTTCGTATTATTTGTTATTATACATATTTGTATTCAATACTACAATTTTATATGATTTAAGTCCTTTTCGTTTCAAATGACAAACGAACTGTGTACTTTCATTTTAACCAAAAATATAATAAAACTGCAAATAAAATGTTTTGGTTACTTATATCTCGATACATACTTTAATGACTATGTTATAAACTTTATTTTTTATATATTCTGTTATACTGGTGATAAATTTATAGAAATTCTCGGCCAAAAGAAAAAAGATAAACAATTTATTGTTCTTTTTAGTAATGTTCTTGTATTTTCTTAAGTATGTAATCATACAATACGCGAATATTTAGGAAACGTTCTTTAAATCTAAATGCTACAATACTTTTCAATATAACATATGTAATATAAAATTTTAATAAAATTGTGGCGAATTCCAATAAGTTATTTTACAGAGAATCAGAAATTTATTTAATATAATTCGAATATTTCAAAGAACATGGATATAGCCACTCGTATATTTTTTAAACATTATCGGCATATTTCGGTTAAAAAAAATTGTTCACCCAAGTTTATTTTGGAAAAGTGTCAAACAAATATTTATTTTGAGTTTTAACGCTTGTTATTAACAGGATTAAAGTTGAAACGAGGCACTCGCTAAAGTCATAAAAAATCCCTTTAAATATTCTAGACTGACTTATTAACACCACAGTGTACCAAAGACCTAAATGTCTGCGTTGCCAACGATATTCAATAATAAGGTTCATATATTGTACAAACTTATTCATATCATTTAAGGAATTAAAATTAACAAATAGCAGCTTATATTTCTTTATTTAGTTACATAATAAAAACTTTCAAACGGGTTAGTCACTCGATATTTTGGTACTTGCTCGATCCACTGCTGCATACCTTAGAATTTCTTAATTCTTAATAGATCAGTGGACCCTACACGATATAAGAACTTTTAAAATACATCAAGCTAATTGATTCAAACGTTTCCCTACAAGAATCATTTAAATTTTTATAATTCATTTCGTGGTCATTTTGAATTAAGACAGCAATAAAATAACATGGTCGCAGTAAAATATTCTAAGTATTATGTCACTATGGTTTCCCTCCAATGATATCCATTACAGTTCATTTCTTACCGAATTGACAGTGGGTAAGTATAAATCTAAATTTATGAGCCTATAAACCATCCATCAGTCTACTCGAGATATAAGATCTTCAAGCTGAACCGGTAAACCGATTCGTCACCCAGTAAGTAGTAATAATGTAATATATTGTGTTTTACTGGTACATAATAAATAATTTGTACTATGTTATGTAACTATGTTAAACACGCATGTAAAAATATTGATGGATGTTTTTTAACGGGGCGAAAACTAAAATACGCCATAAGAGTGCTCGAATAAATGATAATAATAATAAAATGTATAATATCATAAGTTCATTAATAGCTTGTGAAAATATTTATACTCCAAAAGGCTTTCGAAACTATAAATATCAACTTCGCAACGGTATACAATATAATTGTACATGGTAAAATTAAAAATTATTTTTTAAATACATTTGTATGTTTATAACGACAGTATTTACCTCTAAAATGGCTGGTACGGTGTTAGTACACCACTTTATGATGTGATTTAACAGTGTAGATTAATTGAAAATTGTTTAGCACTAAAAAAAATTTAAACCAACATTCCGAAAATTTGATATAAATATATTAATCAAATATCACTTATAACATCATAACTCAACACAGCAATTAACAATTAATAGACTCGGAAAAAAACAAACAGTCATTGTTCAATTATTATGATATAACTCTAATATTAAATACTTGACTATTTTTAACCACACCATTGGGTTTTACTTATTTTTATCGTCAACGAAAATCACGATTAGAGAACCGGACCACGTTACATGGCGAGCCGGCGCACATGTATTACGCGTAACACAAACACTCACGACAACCACCGCCGGGGACAACCACCGCAGACTCACTGAGTACAAGTTGATCGCCGCGGAGTCACCTAACCACGCCGCTGTCGGTAATTCGGGTACACTAAATCGTATGTGTTTTATGCAGCGCGTCGGCCGATGGCATAACACTATACGGTCCACTGATATCATTGTCATTAAGCCTACGAGCTACGACGGTGCCCTTGAATGAGAAATCCCATCCTTGACGTGGTTGATAAAAGCAGTTTCTATTACACCTTGTAGACAGACGAAAATCTGTTGATTTCAATCATCGATTACTACCCTCATTGTATCACCAACGGCAACACATTTCAAAACCTTTTTTTTACTTTATGCTTTTACCCTGTCATATTACCACCAACATGTACAAGTACAAAGAACTTATTATTACCGCAAAAGAATCTATAAATTCTCCCCGATGGTGCTTTTTGTTTAAAAAATTATTTTTAATTAACTTTATGTTTCGTTACAATTTCTATTAGTATGTTAGGTATACTACTCCAATTTACTTTTCTCTTTGATACTCATTAGTGCATCTAGTATAGATAGTATAACCACAAACATTTTCAATAATTATACGGAGATTTTTTTAATCGATAACGTCTAGAAATGTTGTCTTGGGAACGTTTGTGTTGGGGTATATAAATTCACTATTTGATTAATAAAAATATAATAATTAAGTACTATCAAATAAACTATTTCAGTAGAAGTCATAAACGATGCATTCCTTATTCATAAATTCAGATAAGAATGTCACAACGTTTCTAATTGTAGCGACTATTTTACGCTGTAATCACAATAAACGCATTTTACTCAGTCATTAAATTATCATCATAAATTTAACAGGGGAATAAATATTAAAATATTATACGTGAATTCCTAATCATACTTCATTTTCAGTGAATCAACTTTATGTAGTTGTCAAATGGAGAATGATAAACTTATTTTTTTAATATCATATCGATTTTCAACATTTTTTAAGCTGCACTTCAGTAGTAAAATGTGTATAGAATACCTTTAACGTAATACACTATCTTTGTTGTTATAACTTCTTAAAAATGTATTCGCTAATAGTACTAATAAGTAAATAATCCGAAGCGAATAGTTTTATGAAAAGAGAAATACATGAATAGAAATGTATATTGATATTTATACAATACTCTCAATTTTTTAATAAAATTATTGTTCCATGTATATTTACATGATTTTACTAACCTAATAAATTTATATCAAAATATTAAAAACAATTAATATAATTTTTTACCTTTCAATTATGTTTTAGATTATCAATAATTTGTAACATCCTGATCATATTATCCTAAAATGAGTTATTCAGTTTACTTAGTAAATTCAGTTTAAATTTTACCAAATTTAGAGCCAATTAACGGCTTCTTTCCTTTTAGAAAACTAAGCGGGCACATAACTGATACGATTTCCTGTAGTTCATTTTTCAATCAACATTATATTTGATTGGCTCATTTACTTCGTTCTTATAGTTTTGGGTTACTACCTATTTCAAACTGTATATAGATCAATTCACTAATATTTTGCGGTTACTTCAACGTAAATTATATTGTTATCACAGCAAACAGTATAAAGCAGTAAGGACTTTGAAATCGGATAACATTAAAATATTATAAATACACAAATGATCGGAGAGTTTGACAAAATTATCCCAAGTTATTGTTTATATCATTATCTAAGATCATTTAGCTTGCTCAACTTTGGTTATAAATTGGCACTCTTTTTTTGTTGAAATTATAAAGTTCATTTATAATTATAACTGAAAACATAGTGTTAAGATAGTTCAAGTTAATTTTTAAACTTTAATTTATTTTATTAAACAAATATCTAAGGTAAATAATTATTTATGTTATGTATAGCGGATGTGTACATTAATTATGCAGTTGAATAACAAATATACATGAATGTAAGTAAATTTTCACTGAAAAGATTTTACACATGGTAGATTATATTCGAGGATCTTTTTTTTACAGGCAAACTGGGATCAGAATAAATTCAGGTCAATGATTTTATGTGTAAAATGGGTAAATTTCGACAAAAAACCTTTTCACAGTAAAACTACCATTTCGTTAAAATATATTTTTAACTATATTTACACAATGCATCCTATATTCGCACTTTTTTTTTTTTCTTAAGCTTTAATGCTTATTACTTTTCAACAAAAAAAAATTATAACTCTAACATTTTTTATAATATTATTAATGGTTTAAAATATAATGAAGTAAATATCGAAATGCAGAGTGTTCAGTAAGTAAGGAAACAAATCAATTGTTATAAACAATGAGAACAATAGAAATCCGTTTTCTTACCTACTGAACATTCTATATAATTCTAACCGTAACTAGTGTAACGCATTTAAAATTTTAACTGAAACTGTTTTTCTTAATATATTAAAATTGTTCATAATTAATAATTATAGTAATTACTTATATATTACAAGCGGAACATTATCGTGTGTAAATCACGAATATTTATATTTAACAATTTAATCTAATTTTAGTTTATATAAATATGTTAACTATATAATATACTATATATTGACTCAAATAATTTAAATCGTAATACTTAATGTATTAATTACTATTAGTAACACAAGAAAACATACTCGTTAAAATGTAAAATTAAATTGTTATTTTTAAAACGTCATCATTGTACAAGATACATAAATCATATTGCTATAATGAACAAACGTCAATCATATAACATCTCTAACAAGATTTTTAAACCTCCATTAACGTAAAAGACAGATGGTTGGAGATTCAGAATTAGAAATACATGGTAGGCCATTAAATGGTTTTAAAACGAAAAGATTATTGAATATATTTACAAGTATAATATTAGAATGTGATATGTACAACCCTCAAACTAACAATAGAACTATTTAAACAAGAGTTAAACTTGAAACTAAATTAAATCTAATTAATCTGGTAGAATTTAAATATTAAATTAACTTTTGAACTATATTACTGTATTGAAATTTGTACATGACTGAAAAAACTGCTGAACTTTTTAATAATGAAAAGAATCAAACGCATGTAAGTTTTGTGTAATCATTGAACTTTACAAATTATATTTATAAATTTTATTCAGGTAATACAATGTATAATTTTTTGTATGAAATGCAGATTTTTAAATATAATCTCAAACTTTCCATAATTGTTCAATTATATAATTATATAATTGTATATCAACTATATAATTTTAGAAGATTAATCTTCTAAAATTAATAAATATTCCAAGTTCGCTTAGAAATGCGATTTGAGAATGCACCCTTATAGTTTGTAATAAATAAATAAACCTTGTAAAGAATTTCGCTCAAGATTTTAATATCAAGTTTTTCGTAGATAATAGATATAAATGATCACATTATTAAAATTAATAATAATAATAAAGTAACAAAAAATATCTCTAGTAGCTTATTTCGTTAAATTACCAGTGAAAAATCCTACAGGATATTTTATCTCTTACTGAATTATTCTTAAAAAAAAAATAATATCTTACAGCTCCTACTATGATATTTATAATTTAAAACTAAGTATACAAAATTACTTCTCTCCAAATTTAGTTGTTTTATTTAATCAATCCTATTAACACTATATCGTCAGCGAAAACATCACCACGGCACCTCTCCTAGTATTTTTCTAGTAATTTCCATCCATCATTATAGAAAATAAGTAAGGTCTGAAATCAGAACCTTGGTGCATTTCTACTCATACCATAAAACCTTGAGTTTTTTCTACTAATTTCTTCTGTATATTTTTAAAAAATTTTCTTTATAATTTATGAAGACAGGGTAAGATAATGAATTCAGTTTTTCTCAAAATCAATCGCAAATAGCAACACATCGTTAAATATTAGTATTCTAGGGGAAAATTTTCAAGTTTCTCACTTAAATATTCCAAAAGTACAACTTAAGTGTTATATAAACTTATAAACATCCATTTATTTACAATAGATTTTGTTACTGGTAAATATTAGTTTGGTAAAAAAAGCGTGGGGGAAAGATGACTAATTCAATATTTCTCAAAATAAATTACACATTCTAACACATTTTTATTAGCGTAAAATACAGAATATTCATAATGTAACAAATCAATTTTTACAAACAATAAGAATATTACCCGTTTCCTTACTTACTGAATATTCTACATATTTAAATTGTATTTAAACATTTTTGTATTGTTTGAATACAAATTAAAAAAATCAAAGGGAGTTATTAAAATTTATTTATTAATTTACTAATTTTAATTAATTACTAATTTGATTTATATAAATAAATAATTATAATGATATAATATATATGAATAATAATATGTCAAAATATCGAGATTTGTGGTTTAAATTTGAATTATTATTTTTATTTATTATTTAACATGATATTTTTTCCAAGATATTTTTAAAAGTATAATATGTTCATTTTTATTATTTATCTATTGAGTATAGTTCTTCACATTATTAAAATATGTACTAAGATTTACGTTTCCAATATATTTAATTTGTACAGTCCTTTTTTGTCACATGACATGACAGATAATACTACAAATTGCCTTTATATGGACAACACGTTTTACGCATCGTTAATTTTTTTTAATGTGATCCGGTGAATTAGGACCACTACTTGGGGGTTATTTCAAAGAAATTCTGCATCATCAAATGTTGTTAGAGTAAGAAAAGTTACCAAAAGATTAAAAGAAGAAAAGTTAAAGAGTTTTTTATGTAAAAATTAGTGAATGCAAAAAATTACTGTTACTATTCACAATGTTATTGTAGTTGATGTACGTACACAAATTAATCTGTTAATCAGAAGTCAATCCATTACTTACAAAATAAAAGTAATTTTTCAAATATTTTTATAGACTTTTTAGTTACACCTAATTTTTTATTTATATTATGTTACTATAATTTGAATAGATCTCGAATGCGATAGGAGAATTGCGTTAAGAGAGATGTAGCATTTTTGTCCGAATGAATATTGGAAAATGTAGGCGCTAAATCGTTATGGATATTAAAAGTTGTGTTTGAATGCGTGTTTTAATTATGAAAACACTAGTTTTTAAGAAAAATGAAAAATGAATAATTTTGTAATTCAATTAGTAACAATTTAATATTATGATCGATATTACGTCTTTTAGCTTCAATGCGAAACTGAGAAGGTATTAATTTTACTATGATGTGTTTTTATTTATTTATTTTTTTTGTGTCTATTACCACTCAACCTCAGCTCTCACTGGACCGATTTTTATGAATAATACGCCAAAAGATCACAAATTGTATATAGTCATAGACAATACCCTCAATTACTTAAAACATTACTTTGAAATTTGAACTAGCTTAAATTGCTATTCTTTTTCAGTTGGTGTAAGCGACGTACGGTTAATGAGCCGGTAACACTTGTGTCTTACGTAGTTGGTGTAAAAGGTTCCAACCCACGTATGGAAAGAAATTTTTTTCTTAATTCTTTTTAAGTTAGAATAAATTTTCAACTTATTTGATTTTTATCTCATTTAGATTCAATAAAGATCAAGTATGCCTTCATTGTAGTCGCACCTCGCAAGAAGAAATTTCTTATTCATATTAAAATGATTTTACTATATTTTAGGTTTTAGCTTCAATGCAAAGCTGAGAAGGTATTTTTTGTGACTATCATTTATTTTCTCAGCTCTCATTTGACCAACTCCTTTCAACAATACGTCAAATGATTACAATTCGTAATTATTGACGAATCATGTTTGATACGATAGGTTTTACCTACAAAATTAAATCATTTTGTTTTTTAATTTAATAATTTCTTTACTCTATTCGTGTTTGCTACTACTAGATTATAATATTCTAAATTTTTTGATAACATATTGCTATATAAATCATTTCTAAAAAAAATGATAGTTAATTTCTCCTGAATTAACAATGGATTTTTACAATTATATTCAATATTATAATACGCTCTGTTGAATAGATCTTTTTAACAAATTTTTTGATTGGTTTTTTTAGTTAAAGTAAATCATTAAAATTAATTCAGTTAATATTTCAATTGTAGAATTTTTTTTAACACCAAAAGTTACTAGGAAATGATTACTATTATTTCTATTTAAGTTATTTATTACAATAAAAATCAAAAAAAATATTGAGCTTTTCCGATAAATTTATTTAGAAATGATAGAAAAAGTCTAATTTCAGATTTGAAAACGGTACGAAAAATTGATTTTGAAAAGTATATTTTCGTTTCTGATGAAAGCTCTTTGTAGTCCAGTGTATAAAACTTATTACTTTGTTATAAGTAACAAAAATTTTTTATTAAAAATTATTGCATCAAGCCCTTTAAATTTTTATATGCGTTAAAAATAAAAAAATATACAACTACTTAATTATTTTTATAATATCTCCGTAAAAATTACAATATTAAATTATTGAATATCAATTTGATACTAAATTTAATTACTATAATTATTATTTATTCATATATTATAATTATAAATCAAATAACTAATCGGGATAAAATTAACAGGATAAGAGTTATGATTGCTTTTGAAATAATCTACCAATTTCTTAAAATTAAACACTCTACAAATTTGCATCGAAGCATTTTTATGATAGTGATTTTAATCACTGTCAGATATCATCTATACTTGTCCCAACTATACCACGTTCATACTGTGCCGCAACCCCACTGTGCTTCCGTTTTTTATAAATATAATAACAGTCTGAAATAAAAATTATTCTTTTTTTATGTATCATATTACATAGCATTGCTAGCGTTAAAGGAGGTCACCTATTGCTTATACTACAATTGGTCTTAGTTTATATTTTAGTTATGATTCGTTATTGTTTTGTTATGTCAAAAGATCTGAGTTCCAGTTGCATTTGAGTCTACGTGATGGGTTGTCAGGTATTGAAGTCATGTGCTTGTATATTTTATTAATTAAAGGATTTATGCTTATGTTCAGTTTCAAGTGAAAACTAGTATAGGTAAAATAGAAAGTTCTTTGACAGTTTTCGTGTTCAAATCTTTGTGTAGTTTATTGTTTGTTACATACCAAGGCTTACCAGTTCCTTGGTTTCGGAAAATATCACGACTATACAAAAAAGAACGTTTACTTATAACCTAAAACATGGTAGCCTAAAAAATGTTCATTGTATTAAAATGTTTNCGTTTACTTATAACCTAAAACATGGTAGCCTAAAAAATGTTCGACGAGTTTTAATTTAATAAATAAATAATCTTTTTATCATGTTTGAACAAACACAGATTACACTTTTTATATTTTGAAAAAAACATACAATTACTGTAGTAGTTTCTATGCATCCGAACTGACTTAATCGACTAGGTGTTATGTGAAAACTGTTAGTGATTACAATAAAAAAATCATAAGGTAAAGTTTTCTATAAAAAATAGTTAAATAATATTGTTTGTCGGGCACGTTCCGCTTTAAAATTCC